TAGTGACAGCTGCATCTGTTTTCAAAAAAATCATTTGATTGTATAGTATTAGAATTATTCTGCGAAATGTCAATATTCAATGAGATAATTTTTCGTATTCGTTTTTTCGTATTACATATAAAATTCATATTTAGTCATTTCAACATCTCTACAGTGATACCTGAAGATATATGCCGAATTTTACAAAAGAAGGGACTTCATACACTAACTGGTAAGACACTACATAAATTTGAAGTGCTTTTGTAACAAAATATATTCGAATAAAATAATGAAAATTCTTTCAAAGAATTTGTATAATTTCATTTTAAAGTCACTTCAAGACTGTGTGTTCTACCGTGGTAAATCAACAATGAACCCCGGTATTTTTGTGAATGAGGGGAAATTAAGAAAAATACTACTATAAAATCAAACACAGAATATGAGATGACTTTCATTACGCTTGGACAAAAGGCATTTTCTTTCCTCTCTCCCTTTTCTCCCTTTTCTTGCCTCATTCCTCGCCATGACCCGTTGTGAAATCTTGAGCAATTTACGCAATCACATCCATTTCGCGGATGGATCTCCTTGGTTTCCAACAAAATGTTCAGGGAAATTTGGAATAAAAATTCCCTAATCTACTTTTGCTTGAATTTGATACCAAATATTAAGCGTATAGTATTATTTTTTGCCTGTGAACAGCATTCCCGACTCGGCAGTTATCGCCTTGGGGATTTGCGAAATATTTACAAATTACTGCATTTTCGAGAAGCAGTCACCATCCTCAAATCACGCAATTGGTGACTCTAAAAAGATTATCGTCGTATTCCAGAACTGCAAGAAAAACTAAACTTCAACTCTACACTCGAACTGCCACCGTCGCCTTCATTTCTAGGGATAACCTTATTGGATCTTTTAAGGGTGAGAGAATATTTGTTGCTGGTACTTTGTTGTAACTTATCTTGCTAATATCTTTTCGAATAATAAATTCCATCTCATCACAATTTTAGGGTGAGTACTACATAAAAATGGCACTTGACGTCAATAAAGAAAAAATTATGGAATTTGCAATGCCTACTGGATTCACGGCGCTCAAGATGGGTCTACGAGAAGACGACTAATTATTTAACTGTATGTACATATTGTTCTTGTAACTGTGATTATTCTAATCGAAACTGTATCTCAATGTCTGTTGCAATTTCAAAATCTACATAACAATGTTAAGAAATGAAAAATTTACTGTATCAGTCCTGTACAAAAGCACGTTAGTTCCAATACCAACTTACACGAAAACGACGATTTTGTTGCATCTACTTGAGCCAAATATGGAAAGTAGATTCAACTCGTTTGGACAACTTTGCAAAAAGATGTAGCCGTTATGAAAAGCTATAGGTAAACACAGATCTTCCAAGTAAGGGGTAAATAATAGAAAATTGAGTCAAATTTCTTATAATGGTGCAAGCTAAGGTTTATTGTTCCTTCGCGGGAAGAAAAAAGGAGAAGAAATGAAAAAATTTGATCTCTTGATGATTCTTAATACTATGTGAAGCAGATATCAAAATTATATAAAACAGTGAAAAAGTATGCAGTTTTTTGAGAGAATGAAGGAACGAAACAAAAGTTGCCTCAAATTTGGCGTCCAAAAAGCTACTACAGCCGTATCGACGAGACGAAAAACCTGCTTTAGTGTAATACTAATAGTTTTTATATACAATGGCGTCATTCCTGCTTGCTGCGCAGACACTCCACCGAGTATCTTTAGTTTCTTTTTTTGTAACTAAAATCGTAATACAATATCGAATTACCGTAACTGCTTTGCATCGTAAGCTCACTGACGCGATTTTTTAAAGATAAGCCCGAAGTCCTCCGCACCATATTTAAAAATTCATAACTTCTTGCTCTTTCAAGGGATTTGCACAATGCTAGCCCCATCTAATAAAAAAAAATCATGTCCTGTTCGACAACATCTGAAGATCTTTTCATTATGCGATTCTTACAGAGACGGAAGTTGTAGAAGAGAATTGCCGAATTACAATTTTTCTGAGTAGGATTGCCAAAATCTGACACTTGCACTAAAAATAGGCACCTTTGTAGTACCGATCTCCCATCTGAGCAAAATTTGTGTTGGTTGAGCTTTTTTACGAATTTGAAGCAAGCCGTACAAAACAGCAAATTTGTTTTTTGGCATTTATCTCAAAAATTTTTTTTATCTAGTGATAGAAACCCTTAATTGGAATAAAATATTGTCAGGTAGAAATAGCAGGTCATGTAACTCATAATATAAATTTTTCCGATGTTGACTGAATCGAATTTTTGGCAACCCTACTCAGGAAAATCAAAGCTTAGATAACTTTCTTCTACACCATCTGTCTCTGGAATGCTCGTGTAGAAGAAGACATAAATTTTTGAATATGGGAGCAACAAACTTTTGGAACAATTTTCAAATTTGAATAGATGACTTGTTTCAAATTGTAACTTTCGAATTTGATTTTTTGCAACACTTCTTTTCTGCTTCTCATTTCCTCCAAAGTTCTAGGACTTGCAAAGTCTTTTCACATTTTCATCATCAAGACACTCTAGCTTGGAAGCTTCCGACTTTTTTATTATCCTTTGCGTAAGTGCGCTTATTCAAGCAAACAAAGGT